CACATGAGGGGTTTCTCTTTCCTTAAAGGAAATCAATTACAAGACACTTTTTGATTGAGATTTCCCTGCAAGATTTAAGCTTTCATCGTGCTGTGGAGAATTTGAGTTACAGTGCATCTAAGAAAAAAGATGGAAACATTTTGCTCCTCTGTTATTTTTACTGAAATCACTCGGAGTTTATTTCCTTTGAGTGCGTTATCCGGCGTGCGCATCCCTTTACTACGGGGTGATTTTGAATTAGCTTTATAAAGATTACGTGGATAGACACAGCATTGTCGTAGTTAATAGAAACCTGTGCAGTGAGGTCTATGGGCCGCAAGATCACTAACAGTGCCAGTGACAGTGAAGTATGGCCTTATCGAGAGGAGAATTCATAAGAGGCTGCCCTGGGACACCGCACCACTGTCCTTCTCTGTATCCTGACAATGTTATCTGTCCTCTCAGTACGGAGTATCAAATGTCTGTCACGAGTACAGAAATTAATTTAATGTCACCTGAAGACATGCAATTAATCTTTTAGAGGTTTTCATAATACCTTTACAGAAAGAGTTGCCAGTTTGGCGGATTTGGATTTTGGGGTTTAGCAGAAGATAAGGAAAATTAATTTTTCATCAGGGTTAATACAAGCTAGCAGGGCCACAAAGGCTGAGAAAAATGGTTTGGGAATTTGTCAAGTGTTGTCACTCTAGAATAATGCTGCTTAACGTCTGATAGGTGTAATCAAGAGTTGAGATTTCTATAGAGGGGGATTAATCAATTTGCTCACTACAGAATGCAAGTTGGTGATACCGTTCCTTCATGGGGTTTAAGAATGAAAATAAGATTTGATCTGTCAAATTGCGAGCAGCTCTGACAGTATCAATAGGCATTTTTATCAGTACATTTTAAAGCATTTGTTATAAATAAATTTGTCCTGCTAATGTTGGTGGTAAATAAACTTCATCTTCATTGTAAAACTGTCATAATGATTATGATAGAGTAGAGAGCTTCAGCCTGCTAAATTCAAGCAGTCCCTCATAAAATTCTGCTTTTAGAATTTGTGATCTTGTATTTGACAGAAGGGTCTTTATGCTTCTCAAAACCCAACACTGACTATATATATATGTATAGTGAGAGAGTCTCACTGTTGAAAAAAAGCCTCGATAAGAATCAAAATCGAAAATTCTTGGCCGTGGAATGGCGTAACTTCCCTTTTTTGTTAGTCCCGTTTCGGATCAAACTCTGCAGGCTCTTCCACAGTAGAAGTTTGAAAACCATTCACTGTGTTGATTAAATACTTCTGCCTCTATCTGTTGAGTTCTGTTTAATTACACGCAGTATTTGAAATCAACTATTTGTCGTTTGGGCACCACTAACAGTCTTGCAGTACTTGAAATTTTAAAGATAGTTTTTATACTTCCCCCTGAACGCAACTCCTGCCACTTAAAAAAAAAGGCATTTTCATTACTCTGGAACTAAATGAATAATGGTAAAGATAAATATGAATTTTGACAAGAAAGGACTTATATTTTTAATAACCTCCTGTTGCTGTGTGTTTAGATTTGGGGAGGGCAGTGAGGTAAGCTAGTGAAAAATCAGCAATACAGAAGTTATCTTTAGGAAAAGCAAAAGTTCATTTCAGAACTGAGACTTTTTAAGTAGAAGGAAGTTCATTTCAGAACTGAGACAGAACTGAGACTTTTTAAGTAGAAGAGATGTTAGCAATTTGGCTTCTGTCGCTTCTGCAATGCAGCTTTAGTTCACTTACCCGCTTGCCTGTAGCGTTGCTGTGTGTTGTGATTTCCCTTCTGGGTGCCAGCTTGCTGTGCACCGCGTGAGTGAACGGCAGGAGTCAGCATGACGTGCATTGTCTTTACAATCGTCCCTCTTGCCCTCCAGAATGTTCTCGTATGAGCACGTGACCTGTAAATAACGTTCTGAAGTTTCACAGCTCTAAGTCCCGATGTTAAAAGCTCTTTGTGGGTGTTTTGCTTGACTTAGTTCTCACTGACGTGCCTGAGGAAACCACTAGTTGTCTCTCGCAGAAGTACTGTGAAGGAGGGTGGTGGCCGTGAGTCCAAGTTGCCGCTAAACGCTGCTGCGGAGGTTGTTGCTTTGGCTTGGACAGCGATTGTCCTTGTACGGTCGTGTCTAATGAGTGAAAAAAGGGATCGATGCTAAGGTTTATCTGAGGCTGTGTCATTTTGCTTGCAGATAGTGCCCTAGGAGTCATGTTTGGGTTTTGTTTTCTTGAAAATCATTAGGATTTTGTCTTCTGATGAAGCCAGGGCTACCTGTAACCTAAAACAATGTGTTGCCGACTTGCAGGGAGCGCTTAGTCCTTGAGGACCGAGTCACTCACTCACGGACCTCTCTTGGGAAGTGGTGCTGCAGGTTCATCTCTGCTTCCCCTCTTCAGGTCATCTCAGAAAGCAGTAGATGTTCAGAGTGGTTGTATAAAGACAGGGTTTGATCCAGTTGTCCTTTTTTCCTTGTTGCAGGACCTTGCTTCATCCCCTTTTCTTACCCTATGGTCTGTTGTCACTCCCAGTGTTTTGTATTGGTTTTCTGATGCTTGAAATGTTCTGAATATTCTGAAATACATTAAAGAGGCTGGAGATGTTTCCATCTTTCCAGATTTTGCAGGAGCTTCATGCTGGCAGTGAAGCCCAAAGGTGGCTTTTGAGACCCCAGCAGGGAACAAACCACATCAAATTTCTTGTCAGTGTGAACCGAGGTTGTGTGCTTATGTCTTTGACTCTGTAATAATTGTGTGTTTAGTTTATACGGTTTTATTTGGTGATAATTGAGGTTGGTAGTTAAATATTGGGTGGTTGTTGGCCATTCTAGCCTTTTATAGGAAATGATTGTTTGCTTTTGAAGTCTCAGTAATGAGCATGTTCGATGCGTTTTGTACCTGAGGGCTTCGCCCTCAGATGCTCTTCCCATGTGCTGGGATAGCTTTTTGGTTCAGAGAGGAATGGTTGCAGATATTTATGGTTGTTTCAGCAACAACAGCAGGCAGTTAGCAGAGATTAGATTTTTAACTCCCAATTACTGCGTTTAAATTCCTCCTAGAATTTTTTTTGTTCCTTCTGGTTTCATCATCTTCCAGCTGCTCTCAAATGGAATAAAAGAAATTATCTGATCAGGGTGTAAGGCTTAGTGATGCTGATATTGAGACTAATTCTGAAATGAGAGGATTTAATGCTGGTTTCCTGGTAAGGTTTTGTTTGCGTGCATGTGTTTGGGTTTTTCAGGAGAGGAGGAGAGCTGTTGCTTTTATGTTTTTGAGCAGTAATTGAAGGGAAAGCTTTATAATTTCTCACTACTTACGTCTCTCAGAGGTTTGTATGCACAATTTCCTGTGAAGCCACACAGCCATTCAGTTTAGCAGAGAAAAAAACCATACGTGATTAGAAGTGGAAAAACTAGATGCAGTTTCCTATTGCCTTCTTGCTTTGGACACTGTGGACAAAAGGCCTCAAGTGGGAAGAGCTTCAAGATTTTCCCTGTGACAGACTGTGCTTTTGAAGAGTAAACGGTGCAAGGGGGTGATAAAGCTGATTTGTCTGGGATTTAAGTCGTTGAGATCTTCAAGTTGTTGCCTGCATATACTTGGTAATACAGAGGACTTGATTTAGGAGCGTCAATTGCAAACTGGTGAACTTGAAAACATGAGACCATCCTACATATCACCTGTACTGGACTATTTCTCTTCACATGATAGTGAAGAGACTAAGTAACCAGGTGTTTCTTTTGCTTTTGTTTAATCCCAGTAAAGAGGTAATGTTGTATATTCTCAATTAAGATAGTCTCGCTCTTAGACCATAAACCTATTCCTTCTGCAGGCTTGTGGTTTATCTCCTTATCCACAAGAAACATGCCAGTTAGCATGAAACTCTCTGGATTGTGGCGTATATTATAGATGCAAAAGGAGTTTAGATTTGTGAATATTTAGGGAAAGGGTGAAAAATCCCCATGTAAATAAAGATAATTTCATAATATTTTTTTTTTCCCTTAAGACATACCTTCTATTTGAGAGCTTTCACAGGGTTACCTGGGGTGGGTTAGGGACTTAGACAAAGCCTTCCCCCTTCAGGTATCATGTTCAGTAGTATGAGTTCTGGAGTCCAGTCAGGGTACAGATACTGCTGTTGAAACCATGCAATAACATGATGTTCTTTTCACATGAAGAAGTACCTGATCTTTTTTTTGGGCTCTGCTCCCTCTTGCTCCATGGGATGTTTTTCAGTGACTGACCTGATCTGGACAGTGGGACACAAATTCAAGAATCACCTGTCTGTAGAAAACACTGAACTGTTTGGGTAGAGGCAGTGGAAGGGAATCATTTTTCTCTCAGTGCTCTTACTGTGCTTGATTGCTCTGAGAGATGTAGTGAAAAGAGCTACGTTGGATTAGAGAGGCACTGAGATAGTGTTTCATTGGGCTTGTCATTATAAATATTTATAATAAGAGCTTTATAAAACAAAAAACCCTGGGGATGAACTGTTCCAAATACGGACAGTGTTTGAGGTATAGAGTTTGGCATAATAAGTATACGCTTCAAAATAAATACCGTTTTTTAACTGAAGAGAGGTTGGAATTTTAAAGACGAGCAGAGTAGTTGCCTGGTTCTTCCAGCTTTCATAATTCTTTGCTGCTGCTTCTGCAGTGTGTATGTGTCTCTTAAATACGGCACACACCGTAGCTCACGTGTTACCCTGGAAGAAAGAATGATTTGGAAAGAGAAAACTCCCCTTATATGAAAAGGCATTATTGAACATCGTAATTTAAGAAAGCCTGAACAAAGTAAACTGTACTTGAGGTACCGTGGATTTATTTTAGACTGAAGCACAATTTCCAGGCTGAGCCCTGGCACATGCCCGCCGCAGCTGCCGGTTTGCTTTAGCAAGCAAACTGCTCCGTGCACTGAGCGAGTTGGACGTGGCAGGAGGCAGCTCAGGGCGAGGGTTTGCTGTGCCTGGACATTGAGCTGCCTGTTGTGTTGTTGATTTCAGCAGGGGGGAGAGGATGCTGGCTTTTTTCACCCAGAGAGCCAGCCCCAGCGGCCTCAACAACCCCCGGAGTCGAAACAGCAGCCAGTGCGGAAGGTCACATTGACAAAGGGAATGCAACAACAGCAGCACCAACAGCAGCAGCAGGCACAGATCCATTCACCAGCTCCTCAAGGAGTCAAAAACATCCAGGGAATCCATCAACCTAAAAAGGTGATTTTTGGTTTTTAGATGCATATTGCTGCTAGAAGTTCTACTGTCTAGCTGTGTTGTTAATACCTCGCATTCTGTTTGTCAATTGCTAGCACAGGGCTGCATGACCCAGGAGATGCATAATTGCATATAAAGCTTTTCATCTAGAGAGGCCTGTTTGTACCCCGCACAGACTGGAGATGCCTGCAGGTTGTTTCATCTGCTGACTTTGGCCAGCACACTACTCCCTGGGAGAAAAGCCTGTGTCCCAAGATAGCTACTGTAGGAGATGGTTTTAAAGCCAGAAAGCACGTTGGATACCAAGAGTTTTTCTGAAGTTGTGCTTAAGCTTTTATTCCGTCTGTTTCCTGCATACAGAGGAGTGCACAGCAACTGTTTCAGGATGCTTCTTGGTCGATCCTCAAAGTTGGTATCGCTCAAAACAGTTGGTGATCTTGTAACTTGATTTTGCACTGATCATGCGCTGGAGGAGGCAGGGAGAGGATTCGGGTGGCAGTGGTGTGTGCCTTCTCTGCCTCTGCAAGCTGGCATGCTCCCTGGAAAAATAGCTGGTACTTTGGCTTTGAAGTTATTTCTTGGTTTTGAACTGTTGGCCATAATCATCCCACTTCACGTGAGGATAAAGTTTCTTTGCTGAGGCAGAGGTGTGTGAAAAGTTGTTACCCGCCGTGGGCTTTCCGAGTAGGAATCAAGAAACCGTGTTAACTCAGTGTTAAGTGTTAGCTCTGTTTAATGCTTGTTACTCTGTTTCGTTGTTATTTTCCTCTCTCCAACTGTTCAACCTTTGATGCGTAAGAAATAAATCCACACATTTCCTGCTCCAGAAGATACCGTGGTGCCAGATCCTACAGGATTTGGGGGAAAGGAACTTTGACAAAAAGTCGGTATAAAGTTATTTAGCATATCCTGATAATAGACCGTAAGTTGGTACCAATAGAGATTGGAGGTGCTTGAAGCAGTTTGCTGGTCTTGTGGCTTGAGAAGAGAAAAAGGAGAGGGATTACTGGTAGGGGTTGTTTTTTTTGGCCAGGTTCAAAATGCAGGAGCTGAACACATGCTGCCTAGGTGATCAGTGTTGAAAACTAGGTTCTGTGTTTTGGACTGAGACCTTCCACTGCTCTGCTAAAGCTGAGGCTTTTAGCCTCAAAGCCACATATATAATTCAATATTGCTATCCTTCTAGAAGAGGTTTATATAAGCAGTGGATGAATATGTTAATAAGTGGCCTTTCAAATCAGCAAAACAGCAACAAGCTGTTTTAAATCAATGCATGCTTTAATCAAGTCTTTAACCAAACCACTAACTTTTCTATCGTCTGTCAGATGCGGTGAGCAGAAGCACTAGGTAAGTAAATCAAAGTACTGTTACTTTTGTTGTTGGCAGGTCATTATGCACGGCAGAGGCAGAGGAGTAGCAGGCCAGATGGGCCGAGGACGCTTGATGCCAAATAAACAGAACCTGCGAGTGGTGGAGTGCAAACCTCAGCCCTGTATCGTGTCAGTTGAAGGGCTTTCTTCATCAACTACTGATGTCCAACTGAAAAACCTGCTGATGTCAGTGGGACCCATTCAGGTAGGTCAACCTCGGTTTATCATTTTTGTGCCAAAAGGCTTTCATTCCGGAAAGCTCAATTAATTCCCTGACACTAAATACAATGTGTGTTTATTGGTAATTTATGTTTGAAGGCACCCCCACCCACACACGATACACCTGGTAGCAAAGACAAGCGCGTGATGATGTTGCGGCCCGGGAGGTTCAGTAGGATTTTGCTAACTATCACATTCCTGCTGCAAAAGTCTCCTTCATTTTGGAGTTTCTGTGCCATCTCCATTATTTTCTTAGGCAATACAAGCCCGTCCATTCTGTGGGGTGGTTAAAGCGAAATGATTGTATCAAAGTAAATGTATTTTTGGTTGCTGTCTTTGTTTTTATTGCTGACTTGTACCTACCCTCTTTGACATTTACATTTTCCTGTCGTTGCTGTCCTGGAGTAAAAACACTTAATGACCACTGCCCAGTGGAGATTTTGTCATGTGCCACCATCTACTTTTTCAGATAAAAACACGGTCTCCTTTGAAGGATTTTGTTCTGTATTTTTTTTTTTTTTTAGAAGGCTCTCTTCAGGAGCAGCCTGTGAGCAAGGTTATGACACACACACACTGCTATATCTACTGTGAAGCTTCTGTTCATAAACTGCCTCCTGGAACTGATGTATCAGTTAAACTGACATTAGGAAAACAGGTTTTCAAAGCACTGCAGGGCTTAGGAGGCCCTGTCTGTCTTAGTCTTCATACATTTGAAAATATCAGTCAGTGAATAATGAAACTTACAGATGAGGAGAATTTCTTTGATATTTTTTTTTTTCAGTTATGAGCGCTCCTTTTCACAGGATCCACTTTTTCAGACAAGTGCAATGCATGAGTAAGAGCTGTTCTTTGAGACTTCTTTATTAGTGGTATAATCTCTCTGTTGAAAAACATACAGTTCCCCTAAAGATACACACTCTGCCTTACTTCTTCTCAATTTAATAAATGGAATAATGCTGAATTATTTACATCATTAATTCAGGGAGGTTTAATTTGTTTGTGAAAGCAAAAATACTCTCACAAAATACTTTGTCCCTTCATGTTCTGTGGTACTGTAGGAAATGATTCATACAGTTCCAAAGGACATTTATTCAGTGTTTACTTGCTAAATCTTGCATGAGAATATTAGGAGATTAATAGAAACCCTGCTAGGAAATACTCACAGTTGAGAGAAGTGACTGAGAATGTGCTTAATGTATTCAGTATTTGCTGTTTCATAGCAGATTCCAAACTCTGGTCCCTCAATTCAGTGTCACAGACCAAGTTAGAAGGATGTACTTAGGAAAAAAATTATAACCGATTTTCCAGTGAGATTTGATACATCCCTGTGCCCAACAGAACTTGTATTCTTGCTGCAGCATCAGCTGTACCTTTGGAAATTGTTTTCTAAATCATCATCTGTTTTCACCTTATCAGAGATCTAGAAGTAGTACTTGAAAGAGATGCTTGAATTCAGCTAACTATGCAGAAGGCTTTTGTGCTAATTCTGCACTTGAAATCCAAGTCTGACTTGCAGAAGGCTAGAAATTTCCTGGCTTGTTTGAGACTGATGTTTCACAAGTGTGAATAGTGAGATAAACAGGAGGGAATTGGTTCTTCTGTAGGAAGAATGAGACTGGTACCAATGTGTGCAATATTTAGCTTTTTTGGGTTTTCTTATGGTACCATGAAAGGTGGTAACACACCAAATGAAGAAGAGGCAACAGGAATTTTAAGTGCCTTGTAAGACAAGAACTGAAAACCAAATGTTTAAAAATCTGTGGTGTCCCTGTTCACAGCAATCGCTTTTATACAGACGGTGCTAGATTTTGAGGCCAATAACCTGAAGCGCATCAGGGGATTTTCTTGTGGCTGTAGATCAATGTTTTTACTAGTGTTTGTGCTCAGAGCTGTACAAAATCCCCTGCAACTGGCAATGGTCAGGAGGCTGATAGTGAAGGGATGCTCTGCTTGGTTATTTCCTCGCTCTTCCCTTACACCACGTTGCATGTAAGTGACTTGCAATGAGGAGAGCAGAAGGAAGCCTCTGGAGAGCCAAGTAGGGAATGGAAGGGTTCCTTGCCATGCGGACTTTGGGGGTTTCATGGGGGAGCACAGTGTGTGTGAGGCAAGGAGCGGTCATGGCCATGACCAGAGCAAGATCTTGGGTAGTACAGAGCTCTGATCTCCAAAGTGAAATGTTGCTGCTTGATGAATTGAAATAGAAGGGATGTGGGGAGATGGTTATTGTGAGAAAACAGCAAGGTAAGAAATTCCAGCTGCTTTTTTGGAAATTAAGTAAGGTGGCCAGGTTTTTAGCTGGTTCAGATGCAGTTCAGGAGATAGTAAGAGGACGGAAAGGTGAGTTAGTTGTAGCTGACTCCATCTTCGAGGTGTAGAATATTCTCTCTTTAGCAGCTGTATTCAGCAAAACTTTCCTTAATGGGCTGAACTCTTGAGCTATTTGTTTGTTTAGTTTTATTTATCCTAGGGGGGAATGTGTGTGTCAAACTTATATTTTACAACTGTAAAAGAAATCTGAGATCTGAATCATAACTTCCATGGAGTTACCTTCCTGCCTGGGTCATGTCTGGAAATGACACATGCTGATATCTAACACCCAAATCCCTGGGTAAAGATAAAAGATTTCTATCATTTATCAATAGGGTGAATGGGGAGCAAGAGATTACTTTGTTTTTTTCTGGGTACAAAAGAGTTGGATTTTTATTTTTAGCATCTTCAGTCACATCAATGTCGTTATCAAGGTAGGAGTGCCTTGTCCTCAGTTTCTGATGTTCAATGTTCCTACCTTTGCCATCAGATTGCCTTGAGGTGTTGGTTCTGTGCATCAGGGCTTGGGAGTACTTGCGCTTGCCTAAGAGGATATAAAGGAGGCTTTGTTGGAAATTCGCTATTTTTTCCCTTCTATACCCTAGAAATGGAGAAAACTATCTTTTCCTGTATGTGAGCTTTGAGATACCCTCTGGCCTAATCACTGAAGACTTTAATTCTCATCCTTGCTTCATTAAAGCTACTCTGTTATTAACAGAGGAGAAAAGGTATCATTAAGATTCTCAAGATACTGAATAGAAGAAGTTAGTGCTCCAGGAACAGCCCCTTAGACATAGCTGCATTTTACAACTCAAACATGATTGAATTAGCAGGAAAAGTACTTCCTTTCAACATAGGGTTTGCTGTCAGACTCTTTCTGGTGAGCATCAGCTTTCAGATACCAATAATGTACCTGCAGTAAAATTTGAGTGCTGGATCTAAAATTTATTTAAAGTAAAATATGTAAAAAATTATGCATTCCAGAGTGTTGGAAATCACTGAAGATTTCTGAGCACACCATCAAAATAGAGCCTCCTGGGGACCGTTCTGCAGCGGTGACATTCAGCACACATCCATCCAGAACTTCTTGCTAAAGTAGATTGCTAATAAGTTCCAAAGGTCATGAAAAACCCAGTGCATTTTTCTTTGGTGCTCTTGAATCTGGGTTTAATATTTATACTGTCTGAAGAGTCTTGTGTTCAGTTAGTTATTGCCACCTTCAGGTTTTTTTTTTTTAGGATGGTGACAGGCAGAGGGCATCATCTACTAGATCTGTAGATCATTTGAGTCCTGAATGATAGTTCTGCGGGGGTGTTCCTTTGTCATCTTTAGACACACTTTCTAACACCAGATGGTTGCAAACATAAAACATCAGTGCAAAATCACAGTATTGCTTTGTGAAGATTTAAGATCATAAAATCTGATATTAGAAACAAAAAAGGAAAAAGAAAAACCCCACGGCTGTTTATCAGAGGGGGTGAGGATGTTGTGACTGTAGCTGTATTTGGAGTAGTTTTACAAATAAGAGTTCTATTGGGATAATGCAGTCGTTCTTTTCTGGTCTCGGGAGGGAAAGACATGTTAATGTGCTTTTTTTCGCTTTCGTGGAGTGACAGTGCTACCTAGTGCTCAGTTAGGGTAAAGGCAGCTATCTGCACTGGCAAAGCCTTCAGATTTGCTGAATGTACTTTAGTGTGAAGACGTGTGTGGATGGAAACAACAAGCACGCGTGGAGGAGTGCACCCGGAACGTGAGTGCTTTTGCAGGTCGGCGGGGTGGCTCTCCGTGTGACACGGCACACAAGGCGTGCAGGCCTGGCGTGGTCACCTCTCTGGTCTTCCTGCCTGTAAAAACGATTTCAGCCGAGAGTTTTTGCCAGCTCCATCAGCCGTGGGAGAAGACATGGGCAGTCCTGCTCTGTCCTTGGAGCTGGGGGAAGAGGAGCAGCTCTGTAGTGAGCCTGTAGAGCAGTGTGTGAGCTTGAGATGCCCCTCTCAGTGACAGAAGGTCTGTTCTTCTCCTCACATCTTGGGTATGGAGCTGGAGCACTTCTAAAGGTGGACAGTAGGAAGTCAGAGGCAGCAGGAAGGAGAAACAGAAGGTGGAGGAGATCAACTGCAGCAGCTGAGGCTAAAATAAATGTGTTCTGTCCCAATTCTGTGCCTGTTGGTAATGGCTAAGAAGTATCACTCCCAGGAAAGGTGCTTCAGGTGTCAGGAGACTGTGAGGATAATAAAAATGTGTCTGCCTTTATTGACTGGGGGGAAGAACAAATTGAATCTGATCTCTCTTTCTAGAAAGTGCCTGCCGTGCTGCTCTTCGACTTGCTGCAGAGCAGCTTGGATCACACACTGGAGATGAGATTGGTTAGGAAGGTTTACGCTTTCTTTTTGCAGAGACCCTTTTTTAGCAGCTTCGTATGGACTGCCACTCCTAATCCCAAACTCAGCGATGAACTGAATGTACAGTCTATTAGGTAGTTGATTTATTTCAGTTAAAAAAAATTAAAGGAAACTTATGTCCTATGTGTTTCCTATAATTGCAATGAGTGCTTGCTCCAGTCTCCCTTCTACCTGCTTGGTTTCCATCTCCCAGTGCTCTGTTATCTCCCTTTTAACTTCTTCCTCTCTGTGTAACCTTTGAGGGTTTTGGTGTCGAAGATATTTGCTTCCTGGAAGAGATCTCTTGTTCTGCTCATGGATGTCCTGCTGCTTGTGTCAAGGTTCTTTGTTTTGCAGTGAAGCTTAACAAGAGATTATTGTGCTGCTATTATAATGCAGGCCACTTCAATATTATTTTCACTGATGCTGTAAAAGTATAGATTTAATTACAGAGTGTGTGTAATGGAGAAATTTGAGAGCAGTGTAGGTCTGCAGGCCTAAGGAAATATCTGCAGAGGGAATGGTCCCTTTTATGATATTCATGCTTTAGTCACTGGTAATACTTCAGTTGCAGAAAAAGCCAGAGCCTCAGATAGGGGTTTGGGTTTATTTTTAATTTTTGCATTGGGTAATGTGTTTTTAAACAGTTGTAGGCAAACTCTCAATCAAAAGCATGAGTGAGCATGAAATATCTGATGGTTGTTGCTTTTCCCAGTCAACGCAAGATCTTCATCTTCCCACAGCATTGCCTGAGGAAGCAGAAAAAGGACATTATCACGATTAGTAGGAGCTCTGTGCTGCCTAAATCCTTTCCATATAAAATACGTCTCCCCAGCCTAAACCAGTGTTTTATTTTTAATGCTGGCAATGTGTCAGAATCTATTCTCCAGAATCAAATAGGAACATGCCCAGAATATCCTTGGTCTCAGATTGATCTTGGGAAGTGTTGTAAGGTAGACCCGTACACCCAAATCCGTAAAGTAACCAGTTATTTGAAATCCCCTGGAAGTTATTATGTATTGTCAATCCTTTACACCTGAGCGGGTCTGGGAAGGGATTTTCATCCTCTGGTGAATGTCTGACTAGGTCAACTTAAAGAGATGATGTGAATGAAGTTGTTTTCTGAGTGCTGTGACGTCTGGAAGGATTGTGATATTTCAGTTTAGGATTTCATGATAGAAGGACATTTTAGTGAAGCACAGAGGGGCAACAGGGAGTCTCCTGTGGAGGAAGCACGAATGTCCCACCATTAAATGGGAAGACAAGTCAGTAGAACCAGCCCGTGTCCACATCTCCATCCCCTGCCTCCCCCCAGCCAGCCTTTCAAAATCATTAGGTAACAGAATAATACTGAATTCAGATTAAATTCCTAATGAGACATGAAACTTTTTGAGATAGGCTTATTTTTTTATTATCACAGCAAAGATCATAAGGCTAAGGCTTACTTCAGTATTATGTATTCCAACACGCTGAATTATTTTTTCAGAAATGCCATTAATCTGTAGTACTTACTGTACCTGAACATTATTGAAAGAAATACTGAATATAGATTCGAATGTGTCTAATGTAGTTATGCATTTAGTAGGATATTACTCGAGCCTTAGAATATGTCATCTAGATTTTGTGAGGGGAAAAAAAACCCCCACAGTCAAAGAATTTAACCACCGGTAGCGGGCAAGACATTTGTGCTGTTGCATTCAGGGATCAGCCAGAGCACTAGCTGTTCTAGGACTTGAACCTGGAACGGGTCGCTGGCACAGTGCCCTGTAGCCATCCTTGTGGTATTTTTGGAAGCGTGGTGTGCAGGAGTGCTGGGACTTCTGACGAAGAGCTGGTATTTTTGCAGAGATTTGCTTGTAGGTCCATTTGGCTTTGGTTCAGGTAATGGACAAAACCTTTTCTAAGCAAACTAGAATTTTGTAAATCTTGCCCATATTAAACATTGTCAAGCAGAAATGTTTTCTTCAGGATTAAAAATTGTTGTACTTCCTGCTAACTGTCACACAGTGGGGGTTTTCTTGGTTTTTTCTTTCAGACCTGTATTTTTTCTCAACTTATTTTGGCATTGGTCTTCCCAGCCTCTTGATGTTTTAGTTAGCTCTTGCTTCAAGGCTTCTCATCTGGTGATTTGTAGGACAGACATCCGTAATTTCATGTTTGACATGGGAGTTTTAGCAGCCGTTGAGCCAAATAAGACTAAACTGCTTCCTTTAAAATGATGTCGTTTCTGTTCATGATACTAGGTAACTAAAAAAAGCCCTTTTCTCTGAAAATGTAGTAATTTCAAATAAATGGCATTAACTTCAAAAGTAAACAAGTCAATAGATAAAAATGTATGAGTACTAGATTAGTTGATTTGGTTATATAAAGAATCATGCAAGAAGAGCTTTTTGTTCAGTGAAACTTCCAACTTGTTACAACTTCTTCTTCAGAAGTAGTTAGGCAGGATGAAAAGAAATCACAGAAGTTTAGATCTAGCCTGATGTTCAGTATTGTGTTGGAAATACAAGTTAAATATATGGTGGGAAAACAAAAATAATACTGAAAACATTATACGTGAGCATCTGGTTTTGTGCAAGTTCTGTGATAGCTAGAGCAGGACTTCAGGTTTTACTTCAGAATGAAAGATGAATGCTTGCACATCTCTGGGTTTTTACATTAATGAAATACATTAGACAGTAATGGTACCAATAATGTTTGAAATTTAGGGTGTTCTTGACAAGTAAGCTGGCTAATACAGTGGACAGTCTGGTGAAAGAGCATGATTAAAAATAACAGCTTTCTGGCAGGTTATTTGAAGATCTCTTTGTAGTGAATGTGTGAGTACTCAAACTGAGAATGTGGCTGCTAGAAATACTGAAATGTTATCACTGAAAAAAAGGCTGCCAAATTATTCAAAAAAGGTGAAAAACCTTAAGTGTGTAAAACCAGCAGGGTAACATGAGTAAGATATGCAAAATTAATTTTGTATGTAATGTATTTTCCCTGCACGTGTATTTGGAATCATCAAAAGCAGAAACTGGTGAAGTAAGTCTGTAAGATAATGCCTTGAACAACATTCGGAGCTAATATCAGCTTATCACTGTTAACATAATCTAAATGCAGGATCAGCTGTAAACTGCATATCATACCAGGTTCAAGGAGACAGAAATTATCCAGTAGGATGAGCATGCAGTCATTTTACTTGAGGTTTCCACCGAAATGGAACACTGGTTTGTATGCCCTACCGATAACCCATCTGCTCCGGGTGGGATAGCAGCAGCTCAGGACCTACACACTCTGGTAAAATCTTACCTACTTGTTGTGTGCCTGATAGTCAATGTTGTTAAGCATAAAACTTGAGGTTTAAATAGTAAGGCAAATAAGTAGATATTCTCCCAAAATCAGAACATAAATTTTCAAGAGATCTTTGTTAGCAGGATGTTAGCCGGCAGTGTGCACTGGCAGCCCGGAAGGCCAACTGTATCCTGGGCTGTATCCAGAGAAGTGTGGCCAGCAGGTCGAGGGAGGGGATTCTGCCCCTGTACTCTGCTCTGGTGAGACCCCAACTGGAGTGCTGCGTCCAGCTGGGGAGCCCTCAACATCAGAAGGATATTGACCACTTGGAGCGAATCCAGAGGCGGGCCACGAAGATGATCAAAGGGCTGGAGCACCTCTCCTATGACGAAAGGCTGCAAGAATTGGGCTTGTTCAGCCTGGAGAAGAGGAGGCTCTGAGGAGACCTCATTGCAGCTTTCCAGTATCTGAAGGGGCCTACAAGGGTACTGGGAGAGGACTTTTTACAAGGGCCTGTAGTGATAGGACAAGGGGTAATGGGTATAAATTGAAATCAGGGAGGTTTAGATTAGATGTCACGAAGAAATTCTTCACAGAGAGGGCGGTGAGGCACTGGAACAGGTTGCCCAGAGATGTTGTGGATGCCCCATCCCTGGATGTCTTCAAGGCCAGGCTGGATGTGGCTTGGAGCAACCTGGTCTAGTGCAAGGTGTCCCTGCCCATGGCAGGGGGTTGGAACTGGATGATCTTTAAGGTCCCTTCCAACCCTAACCATTCTATGATTCTATGATTCTGTGAATGTTTATACTTGCACCTTGTGCTAGATGAGGATTTGTTTAGGAAAACTGTGTAGAAAAATATGCTATTCTAACTGAAGTGCTAACCCAAAGTATCAACTTTAACCTTAATAAGTCTAATTGCTTCTCATTAATAAGGCCATAGGACTGCTCTTTGGGATCATCTTGCCATTGCCTTGACTTTTTCTGCTGCAACAGGGAACAAAGACGTGAGTTGTTTTACTCCCTGGCTGAAGCATGGTATAGTTTGGAAGATCTCAGTACTACTTTGGGGGGGTTACTGATAGCTACAGCATTATGAAGTGCTGCTCTTGTGGTATGGGAAGCGTGTATCCCATGGGCTTGTCTGGGTATATGTGTATTGCGTGGTTTCCCATTACGAGGAGGACTTGGAAGTGGTGACCTAAGCCATCTCATCAGGGTGGTGTGGTTGTTAGTGTCTCCAAAAGCTAGACACCTGGTTTTATTAAAACTGAGAGTATATAGTGTAGAGATCAAAACCTACCTCTTCTTTTTCCTGATTTTGTCCTGTTTAACCTGTGGAAAGCCCCTGTCCTTGACTCCTGCTGCTTGTGTGTGATTTTGAGCGCTGCCCAGCTGAACATTTCTCACTTAGCTGGCAGGAGTTTGGCTGCAGGGTTTGGTTCATCTGCATGGGTTGAATTGAAGAGCTGCCACCTTTGCTTAACGAGTGATGGTCTGGGTTTTCTGACCCTTCAGCTGGGTCCTTGACTGCAGTCTTGGAATTCCCTTTCCATTCCCTGGACACCAGTAAGACACAAGAAATAGGGCAAAATTTCAATCAGTTTGGTACAAAATGAGTTTGTGTTTTGTTGGTGTTTTTTTTGTTGGGGTGTTTTTTGTTTAAGTAGAACTTTAAGTGAATATTAAGACTATGTTTTGGCTTTTTGTCTCTGCAGAGTTTACAGATGCTTCCTCAGCAGCGGAAAGCCATAGCAAAATTTAAGGAGCCAGCACATGCCTTGGCATTTCAACAGAAATTCCACAGGTAAATAATTAAGCGCTGCTGCCACCTCAGTTCCTTCCCTCCCTTCAAAAGATTAAATTGGTCTCCTCTGCTCCATGTTTCTCTTAAGCCAGTCAAGCATCTGTTTCTTAGTGACCTTCATAGAACCTCCTTTTCTGTTCTCCACCCGTAGAATCAGTTTGAGTACCAGGTTTACATTTCTTTTAACAGGCACATGATAGATCTGTCCCACATAAACGTGGCACTGATAGTTGAGTGAAGTCTGCCGAGAGAAATCCTGGCACTAACAGAAGTGAACTCTGGAGCTACACAAGAGGCAGTGGCAAAGCCGGCGGGTTGTGAAACCTTTCACCTTAGTCTTTAATTGCTGCGTTGAACTACAGAAAGCAGCGAGATGTCCTGCAGAAGAGCTGAACTTGAGAGGATCTGCAAAGGTGGAATTTCTGTTTGTTCACGTTCTGTTGTAACCACGTGGAACTACAGATTTTTTTTTTCAAAATGTTCTCAATGCATGTAGACACTGTTCTTCGAGATCCTACTGTGTGACCACAGTGACTTGAGAGAGAACGTTTACATCGAAAGATTTAAAAACTTTCTTCATAGCAAAGAATATTTGATAATGGTTGCTCTTATCTTCAGTGTGAGGTATTTGAATGAAAACTCACTTTTCTAAACAAAGCACGTTAGTTACGTTGTATATCTGAGAGCACAGAAGGTATTCTTGCATAGATTTAAACGTGATCTACTTCACTGAATAGCAGTCTGCGGAGAAGCTTTGGAGGTGACACTGGAAAATTGTAGTTTTGATCTTTGTAAATATGTTAAGTCTGTCTTTGCCTTTTTCTATTCCAACACAGACTTCTGTCTTCTCCTTCCAACTCCACTTACTCCATAAAACCCTGTGTAGGAGTAACATGGATGTATTTTCCCTGAGTTTTTAAAAACAAGGATCTTTGCCCTTCAGTAGCCTTGTGGTGTAGTGACCTCCAAGTTGTAACTAGGTTGTTTTAAATGACGTTGCCACACACGAGGAAAAAGAAATACGTAGTGACTCACTTAAAAAATGTTACACAGGAAGAGTGGTGCATTCCTAGTAGTTCTTTTGAGCTAGCATTTCATGACTGCCTTATGCTTTATTTAGATTTTTTTTTTCTTTGGGTTTTATTTTGTGACTAATGTGAGAAACCCATAACTGAAAGGACTGGGTTTGATGCGTTGTTCCCAATAAATACAGGACTGTAATGACATTGTGAATCTCCTGGTGAATGTGGCAGTTCCCAAAAATCACATTCAAATGTTAAGGACCTTTTTATTTCATTCGAAGTAAAATCCATAATATTTCCTTTTGGTTAGAACCATCTAGATGGTGTTGCCAAAGGAACAATTTTTTTCAGTTCTTCTGAATAAACTTATTAAAATGTCATCTTTATATTGGATTCCAGTTTTTATGAACATTTCCTTAGCTTTTAGACTGTGAGCATTTGCCTCATCCTTTATTTTAGGAGTACTCTTAAGCACTCCTTCTACGATTTGAATGGGGGCACTTACAGAAATGTAATAGGTTTGTTACCTGAGTGACTGCAGAACAACACTATTGGTATGTAATGCAGCAGCTGTGAATGGGGTCCAAAAATAGGCATGCTGAGTGTGGAAGGGTGAACTGAGTAAGTTTATAGTAGCAGAAATGGTTGTTTTTTTTTTTTTTAATGGTAACCAAGTCGCAAAGACCTGATTGGCTTTCTTACAGTTTTGGTCCAGATTTCCAAATAAGTTACTAAAAAATAGGCTGACTAATAAATACTGTCAAAAGTCGTCTAAATAAGAGCTCTTTATTCATCGAAATAATAGAGAATAATGTAGTACTTTGGAAATAATTGCACTGGGAAAAATAAGTTTAGAGAATACTCTAAGCCCATTTACAACTTAGTGATGAGACGCAGTAACATCATGAGCACTTTTGCGTGTGAGTGACTTTTACACCTGCCTGCATGGTTCCCATTTATGCATAATACTCAGTAACATCCAGCACAGTTACTGTATTCGGGGTAAACCCAAGCCCAAGAGAGAATGAGCCACAGGTAGGAAGTGCCCATTGGGAGCTGCCCCTGAAGACCCATGCGAGGCGATCGCGGTGACGCGCTCTGCCACCTGCGGTTTGACTCCTCACGCCATGGGCACTAGGACCCCTATGCTGCCTCCTCAGGTTACGTACCATTTATTTTTAAGAAATAAATGCTTATCTTCAAAACAAGTCAATGAGCAGTTATCCCACTGTTAGGGAGCAGCTTCTCTGTAATGAGAAGGATGGGAAGACGTTTTGGAGTGGAGCGATGATAGTGCGTGCCTGGAAATCTGGGTTAGATGCAAGTGCCAGACAGGCCAGCAGCTGAGTTCAGCAGTAGGAACATCTGCAGTTGATCAGCTGTCCCATCAGAAGCCAACATTATTGGGGTTAGAGGGTTTCTTGGAGCCTGAGAGTATGGGTTTGATTCAAAAGTCAAAGAAGTTTGTAGAAACGCTCCTGCTTTGGGTTTTGAATCCATCCCAAAGAGGCTGAGGTTCAGCCGACTTAAGTTTTAACAGTTTTTATTCAGTTGGGGTTGGGGTTTTTTAATTTTTTTTTTTTTTTTTGAGACAAACGTGTGGCTTTGGAATATAGACATGAAATCGCCTCAGATCTGTGTAAATGTAGGAGGCAACGTAAGCAGTGCCTGTTTAATGACTGGATGCATCCTCCCTAAAAGCGGTTGCAGTAGATGATTGATGGTTGATGATTTTAGCTGCTTCTTGCAGCAGTACTAGGGATTTTACTACGTGTAAACTTACTATATGTATGTATGTCTACATGCGTTTTGTTACACACGTACATACATACTCACACCCTGTGTTTCCACCATACCTATCCAATATCTTAACTCAGCAGCAAAAGTAGCATTTAGGTGAGTCATTTGTTGAAATGTTTGTGTTCGGTTAGTTCTCAGATCGTTAATTTAAAAGTGGATCTCTTGGCAATGATCACTTTGGATGATACAGCTCTTCTAGCTCCATTTGTTGACTCCTCCCGAAAAAACCCAAAGGAAGTAGAGGTAAAGCTAGGCAGGCGTGTTCTTGCCGTGTTCTCTTGCAGCACATAGTGTTAAATCTGAGCATCTCAAGTTAATTTTCTTGGAAGATCTGTTGCAACCATTATCTTGTTCTTTCTTTATCATGCATTCAAAATATGAAGCAAAATGCAAAAAAAAAAAAAAGGCATTTAATGTAGTATGTAAATATTGACCTTTTAAAATTAAAATGTTACTCAAAGTGCTTACAGTCAACCACATCTTAGCTATTTGTTAGTTTTTTTGTGTTGTCTTACCTAAGTTTAATGGATACAGTTCCATAAATGTTGATGTGTTTTTGTGTATATCTTCAAATTTTTATAAAGATGCTAGTAAGTCAATACATATATCCTGATCTGTGTATTATTTGTTCAGTTTTTATTAGCATAATTTTATAATGATTTTAATAGGCAACTCCAGCAGGTGATTGGAGCCAACTATCTTTTTTTTTTTTCCAAATCATTTTGTTTTCACCTTGTAGCACTGGCGAATTCACTTTATAACTAATCCTGTTTTGCCTCGACTAAAAGATTGGATTGGCCGTATGATCTGTGGTATTTTAGCAGAATGTTTTAGTTTTATTTAAAAAAAAAAAAATCTCTGTCCTTTAACTTTTGAGGGGAAATACAGTGCGCTGTCAGACCAAGGCACGGGCTTCCTAGCTTTGTTCCGTTGTGCTGTGCAAGTACCACTTAGGTCTGTCCTGTAACATTGTTCTCAAAAGTTTGGGATATTTTGGTTTGACACGTAATTCAAGTTGGTCATGTAACAGGTTGGTTCATCACAATGTTGGCGGCTGCTGTGGCACTCCTGCTGTACGATGGAACGATGTGTCAGGAAAGCTCGGTATAAGTGGTGCTAGGCAGGAGGAGGACATAGCTGGAAGAGCTGCCATGCAAATATTTGTGTAGTGGGAGGGAAGGAATTTAGACAGGGATATTGTTCTTGACCCACATACATCCCCAGTATGACTCAGGGAAAGAAGAGTGAATACTGGCACCCCTCTGTGAAGTGTCTTCAGATACCTCATTTATTCCCCAATTTAAATCTGAAGATTCACTTCAGATTTCCAAGTTCCTGTTCAAAAAGGCCTTCCAGCTGTTAAAAATGCCAAGCAGAGGGGGAATTTCAGTTCTTCAACATTAGGTTTCCACTGCAAGGGTATAGATGAAAGTTTTGGGTTTTTTTTATGTAAAGCTGTAGGTTATTGCAGAATAACCTCAAGGGTCTTTGTCGTTTTTTCTTAACAGTATATAGCTACTTGGAATAAGAAAAAACCTTTTACTTGGGGCTGAAATTTTTGTATCTTTTTGAAAAATGGCAGCTTTTAGCTGTTTAGCTTCAGATTGTGCTGTTTTCCTGGGAGCCACCGTAGGCGCTTCCTACCGTTACGCACGGTAGCTGCCTGTCTGGGGTGGGGGGGTGAGAGGGTGGGCGGGAGGGCGCGGGGTTTCATTTCTTGGGGTTTTGTTGGCCTGTTTTTTGTCTGACTTGGGAGATAATCCTGAATTTGTTCTCTGGCATCGTGTTGTGGTGTTCTTGTCCTTCGCGTAGTACCGTGTGTGTCGTGTGAGTCGTGATATTCGAAGGCAGAAATCTGGCTTCACCTGTTCACTGTCAAAAAGGCTTTTTTGTTCAGACACATGAACCTTTTTCTCAATTATTTTTTGTGCTTTTTTTTTTTAGCAGCATGTTGGATGAGCTGTTAAATGTGAAGGAAACGTACTGAACAGATTGCACAAAGTTAGCTGGTTTATAAAGGTCATTTGGGGTGACATAGGGCTTTTGTTTCAATGTTACCTTAAATCATGCCTTAACCGCTAATTAATTCATAAGCATAATACTTGAGAGTATTTTATCTTCAATTAATATCAAATCCTAAGGATTTTATGTAAGGTTTTTTTGTAACCTGATTTTTTTAATCATGGATATAGCTTATTATCCACATGAGCACAGGGTCTTGTGTACGAAAACACTGATTCACATTGGATCCTTACGTATACCATCTTCTGGTATAATATGGTTGGGAAGGATCATTTTGTTCTTTATAATGCTGCTTTTTGCAGGGTTGGGGGTTTTTTTATAAAAGAAAAAAACACCTCAGTTTTCTACTTCTGTTCTTGTTTTGGTGGAACGTATGGTCCTTATTGCACTAAGGAAAACCTCAAGGGGCAGGAATCTCACTGGGTCTTTTTGGTGACTGTGTTGCTTTCTCATTTCTTGGTTGGATTTTTCTGACTGATTTTTCTAACTAAGTGGAAATGGGCTTTAGATACACGCTGCTTTTCAACAGGTTACACTGCTTTTATTTAATGTAACAGCAGTCGGGTTAAGCAATTTTTACCATCTAAATAATTTCGAAAGGTATTACATATTAAGAATAATTTTGTAAAAGAACCAATGTACAGTTAAATGTAGCTGTATTACAATGTTGCGTAGAAGATCACAATTTAAAGCACTGCTGTGTTAATGTGACGTTTGTTCGGTGGTTCCAGATTTTCTCTGTGTGCCTCTAACTGTTTTTAATATGCATTGTATTTTTTTCCCCAGTGTCTGTCAGGCTGACTTTGGAACCCTATGCTTTTATTTCTATTTATATAACAACAAAACCATTTTTTTGGCAGGATTTTTTTCAGACGGTGAAACATCTTTCAGCGGTTTAACTTCTAATTAATACACATTTTCACTTACAGAAACAGCAGAGACAAGACGCTAACGCTCATTTGTTCACAGCTGATCTTCCATACCATGGCATACAAGTTTTATTGATATAAGTCAGCTTTCTTTTTCCTGTGGTACCCTTTGCTTCTACCCTATGCTTTACCTCATTTCCATCTCATCTGCTCCCATTTTTCCATTCCTACAAGGATATTGGTATCCTTGTTATGTTCCTTCTGTTCACTCTGTTCATCTCTCTGGACCTTTTCCTATCTGAGTGAATTGCATT